GAGCTCCCGCTCCAAGATAAACATTTACAACTTTTCTGTGTGATTATTACCGATTACGGGTCTCAACTGTTTGCCTTTTTGCATTTTTTTAGCAAATCCTTATTCATGGGACAAAGGAACCAATCTAAGTACTTTATTTTTTTTTAATTAGTTATTTTTCAGTTACAGTAAACATTCAATATTGTATTAGCTTCAAGTGTACAGCAGAGTGGTTATACATTTATATAATTTACAAAGTTATACCCCCAATAATTCCAGTATCCACCTAGCACTACACAGTTATTACAATATTATTGACCATATTTCTTATGCTGTACTTTACATTCACGTGACTATTTTGTAACTGCCAATCAAAGTAGTTGAAACAGTACCAATATGTGGATTAATATTAGTCCAGTTAATTCTCCTATAATTTATCTATCTAGTTCCTTATATCCTTATTGGAAGAAAACTTTATTGATTGACTACATTGGAATTCACTACATAAATAAGAAAGATAACTATTATGAGTGTAATAATTATTACACCTATCCCGAGAGAGTACTTCCACGTCATTCGTATGAATGCATTTACCAGCAAGGACTCATGGAGCACCTACCAGAGGCTGGCCTGTACTAAGACCAACCATACTGATGACCAAGGCCTGCCCTCATGAACTCACAATCTAGTAAAGGCTGAAGGAAAATAGACTATGTTCAAGAAAAAAGGTAACTGCCCTGGCTGGTTTGGCTCAGCGGTTGGAGTGTCAGCCTGCGGTACAGAGAGACCCGGGTTCGGTTCCCGCTAAGGGCATGTACCTCGGTTGCAGTTTGTCCCCAGCCCTGGTTGGTCGTGCAGGTGGCAGCCACTCGATGTGTCCCTCACATCGATGTTTCTCTCTCTCTCTCTTCCTCTCTCTTCCTCCCGCTCTATCTGAACAAAAAATGGAAAAATTTCCTCAGGTGAGGATAAAAAAAAAAAAGAAAAAAGGTAACTAAGTAAACACATATACTTAACAATCTTCCCATGGGTCATTTGTCATATGTCATATATGGCTTTGCACATGTGGGCATTTTACAGATGACTCCATGGTACCACTCCAGCCGGAGGCGAAGCATCAACACGGATGGTTGCATCTCATCCCCGCGTGGCTGGTGTCTCAGCACCCTCACCAAACCCTGAGCACTCCTTCCAACACGCGGCTCACAGAGCCATCGCGCAGCATCTCCCAAGCTTCAATATTTCAGTCACATAGACATTCACACTAACCCCCCAGAAACTTATTTTCGACTTCCCATTGCCCAGAGTTACCTTACAGCCTCCTATAACACCACAGGGAGCGGCCTCGCTTGTGGAGGTGGAAACACCTCACTCTGCCCTTGGGTCCTTCACAACTCTTCCTGCGCAGGGGGCTACCATAGAACCAGGACTTCCTGTTTCATCCAACCCTTCAGGAAGTCTCCTGAACCCCAGCCCGGTCTTCACTGTGCAGAAACAAAGGCATTTGCTCTCCACTTCGTTCTCATTGCCGAGTTGCTCTACGAGGTGCCTCCTGCCTTGCACGTCACAGCCTCTCCTCACCTTGTGCTGAACAGAGAGCCTGTCTTCATTCCTCAGCGGGCACTGATTAGGGGACAATCATCTACTTATTGTTTGTGCCATTTTTGCTCTTCCTATTATGCGACCTGCCTGCCTTCCGCGCTCCCCTGACCTCCAGCCTTCCCTGCAGTTCCACCGTGACTGAGCTCACTGTCCCAGCTGCTTCCTCCAGCGCACAGACTGGCCCCTTCGGTGACACGGCATGATGTCGTCATAGTTCCAGCAAAGGGCTCTGCCTGCAGACGTGTCCGAACTCCCGAGAGCAAGAACACCTCGTGTGGCTTGTCTTCTCAGCCCCAGCACCGAGACCACTCCAAGCCCCTGCCCCCTACTCACCGTTCCCCGGCGCCTCTAAGGGGAGGCTCGTCTTACACTCCACATTTCATCGCAGGAGCCATTGCGCCATGAGGTGGATTTACTGTAAAATCATCAAAGCGTAGGCTCCCCGGGTGCAGGATCCGCTCTCAGTGCCCTGGGAAGGGGGTTGGTAATGTGAGCGCATGGGTCTCCGTTTTTGTAGAATTTTCAGAATGAAGCTATCTTAACTACAGTTGTTTCTTTCCATTCAGACTCTCATTACATCTCACCTCCCCTCGTATTGAGAGTCACTGGAGTGACCGCAAACAGACATAGGGTCTCACTTAAGGGGAAGTGAGTGGCATTGTGTTTACATGAGATATGTTTATGTGGCTCGAGGTCACTTTTGTGGATGGTTAAGTGACTGCTAGCCATCTACATGCCGGGTTGGCTTCCAGAAATACTCCTACTATGGACAGTGACAACTCAGACCAGACATTGAGACATGCAGGTGTCAGCCCAGAGATGGTTTTGCAATATGAGCATACCCTACCACCCCCAAGACCAGAAACATATGGGTAGTAGAGAGAAAATAAGGTATACACGCCAGAAGCCGGTCTGTGGAGAATTCTTCCATCACTAGACACGTGAAATTCTAAATACAAGATTGGGTATTCTTCTGGAAGGAATTCATTAGAAAATGCAGCATTTAAAGTAATAATTACACCATGTGTTTTTGTTTGTTTTTTTAAAGGGAATCAAATAAAAGACAATCTACCCAAATTCTTATGTTTTTATAGCACAAATCTGTAACAAGCAATGAGTATGCCTATAACAACCCATTTATCAAAGAAATTTTATGATGGTTTCCCACTAAATTTGACATCAACCTCAAAAATACGTAAGATATTATCAGTAAAAATTTGTGAAACTGAAAAAATTCAGTCAACAATATTAGAATAAGACTAAGTTATCTCTCTATTCCCTCTATAAAAAGTGATGCCATATGAAGAGATGATCAGAGACTATGGAGCTAAAATGTGGAGGAAAATCATTGTGGCAGTGTATGGGTAGTTGATTGGTTAAAATGTCATTTTCCTGCAAGTTGCCAAGTTTGTGGCATTTGTCAGCCTTTTTGTATTTGAAATTTGTGGTGATTTCTTTCCTCCTCCTACATAAATGAATATTCACTTTCACACCTAAGTTACAATTTTCTATTTTGTTTTTCTTTCTCTGAAAGAGGGTCTCCCAAAATTGTATATGCATCAGACCCTAAAAACCTGGATCATTATCAAAGAAAGACATATGCACCAAGTATAAGCAAGTGGTTGGCTATGTCTTGCTTTATTTCAGTCTTGGCCCAACTAGTGAGTGTGAAGAATTTCCTCCAAATGTAGGTAGAGTTTACACTGTAGCCCAAAATGAATGAAAAGAAAGTTCATCTTCAGAGAATTAAAATCAGTATCAGATGGCAGAGGAGTTGTTGTTATAGATGCCTTTCTTTGGTCTCTGCTCTGCCCTGTGCCACGGTGATATCAGCTCATAAGAGCCCAGGGTCAAGGTAGTGCACCTTTCTTCAAGGAGAATTGTCCAATCAGTTCCATAACTGCCATACCAGCTGCGTGTTATTAAAAGTCCTGGCGTGCTAATGGATATTGAACCTGTTTTCTAAGGGCAACGTAACTGCAATTATACAAACTTCCTGAAAACTGCTCTAGATCTTGAACCCTTTCCAAATACCACGTGCTACTTACACTGCAGGCCAAGGGACACCTCCCGCTTCCTCCCAGAGGAAGAGGGCCTCTGAATGAGAGTGCAGGTGGCATTTGTGCCCTCCGTTCCCCTAAATGCCCATCTAGTTATTCTCAACAAGCAAATACTGCATCCTGAGGATACACTATAAGGATATTGTGAGCCCAGAAAACTTGAGAAAATCTCCCCTTAGTGGGGAGAGTAAAACGATAGTGATCTTTACGCTTCGGCAATGTATAACTATTTTAGTTTTTAAGGACTTTCCCAAAATACGTTGATTCTGTTTTGTTTTTAACCTCAGAAGGAAAAGGGATGGACTCTGAGAAACCAAGACTGTGAACAGGTACTGAAATCTGACACCCCCTATGCCTGTAGGCATCTACTGAAGTCCAAACATCTGATTAAATAGCCAGATAGCTCGTGTTCTGTTTTACATGATCGAACCCACTTGTTAAGAATAAACACCTCTGGATGATTTTTAGGAAAACGTTATAAAGCCTCATTTCCATGATCACATGTAACGTGGACGTTCTAGGTCTCTGTTTCTAAACAACCCCCTTTCCACAGGCCTATCTGTGCCCTGTTTCTCTACAGGGTATGGGACTTTCTACCTCCAAGTATCGCTCAGGCTACCCAACCTCCCAGGGACACCCTCCTGTTCCCTGCCCTCCAAGATCCTAGCCAACTCTCAAGAGTGTGCCTCACTCTTTGAAAACTTCTTTACGTTTTCTGCTCCCTACTTCCCTCTGAACTCCTGTAGTAGAATTTATCTGTATGCTGTGTTTGAGATTTAAGTTATTGTTGCTCTGAATTACTATTTAATGCAGTAGCTATTGTTTTTATGCTCTAACATGTTCAGATATTTATTTAAGAGAGTTAAAAAGAGGCAAAGTAAACAACAAGATTAAGTAAATTAAACCATGAAACAGAAAGAAATCCACTTGGCACACACTGTATTCAAGTGAGAAGAGAGAGGGAGCAGGAAATGAGAAGAGGAAAGATGGAAATGGGGAGATGTGCTCATTGCAAGTATAAACAGGTTTAGAGCATTACAAGTCTTTTCTCTATCATGATATTTGATAACCCTTTATAATCTGAAGATTTTGTTGTGACTGTTGCATTGACTCTAATACGAAGAGCCTGCCTTGTTTGTTGGGCTATGAAAGGAAGAGGGCATTTGGTGGGATTCGTGGGAATTATGAGTAGGGTATAGAGGTCTGCATAGAAGTGCAAAGGTAAAAGGGCTGTCTGTGTTCAGTCCAATCCTTTAAGTGTGTAAAACTCTCCAATCATTTGTCCCCAACTGATTCCTGCTTCCCTCAAAAGGAGCTACCAGTTTTCTCCCTCACCTGCCTCTTTTTGCCCTTTCCTAGGTCTGCTTTGTGAACCTGGATGTGAACAAGGATGAGGGCAGCACAGAGCACCTTCGGCAGGTAACACGGGGGACTCGAGCTCTCCAGGAGGTATCACAAGGCCTGGCTGCACCCATGACAGAACCAACATGACTTCATCGCTAAATGATGTCCATTCTGCAGGGGACTCTTAATTGGATGGTTTCATCACAGCCCATTTCCCTAACCGCTTTCCTGCCCCTTCCCATCCAGTTTGCCTACCTGCTCTTCATGAAACTTGCTTTCCCAGGAGACAGAGCTCCTCTCCAAGCAGGCAGTTCCTGCGGCCCACCAGTCCCTCGCGGTGGCTGTTTCTGCTCTCCCCCTCTCCACTCCCAAGCGCTCTGTCTGAGATGACCTTCCCAAGGTTCTCCCAAACCCTGTTTGATAGCAGCCAGCCCTTTCCTCTGGCTCTCAGGGTCGCTGCTTTGTGCTGCTTTATCATCATCATATGCTTTCTCTGTAACCTTGCTTTCCCAGCCCTACACTTACCTGGGACTCAAACATTTCACACTTGGCAGCAGCTAAATATCCTAAGATCACACAAGGTGGTGAGGGTCCTGATATAAATCCTTGACAACACATGGGAACTTGAAGTCTCACTCTGTCCTTTGGACTAGAGCCCATTGACACCATCAGAAGACTGATTGGTGTGATTTAATTATCATGTCATGCCCAAAGCTGAAGATGGTTTGCTTTCACTATTCGGTATAATGCTCTAATCGTACCAGAGCACACCATTTGCAGCTTGATTATCACAGAACAGCAGACCTGCAACTACTCAGTTACTCCTGTGGTGTTTTTCTTGACAATGCTTCACCTGAAGCTTTCCACTGGCTCCAGGCATCATTCCTCTGTGTAGTACTGGGAGGGTTTACAAAATAAATTGTACATCTGATTTCATTTGATGGAATTATGGTGCAGAGTCCATCAAAGAGACATGCCAAAGCAAGTTGGCATCTTAAGAACTGTGTGCTTGAGATTTATATGAGTGATTTGAGGCAGTTTCTGCTATGGCTAAGTCAGACACTTTGGCACTGAATTAGCTGCATACTCTTGTGTGAGGTATTAATCTTCTTCTCTGGGCCTCGGGCTACTTAAGTGTAAAACAACGTAATAGTGCTACCTAACCCATATAGGGGTGGTGTGGGGGATTAAATGTAGCAAAATATAACACATGTAAAGACTTTAGCTCAGTGCCAAGTACATAGAGCAAGACAAATGTTAGTAATTATGTTATTATTAGTATTGTTATTGACTCTATTAGAATGATGATTACTAGTCAACAAGTCTCTTACTCCAGGACTTAAGAGAAAAAGAATTTGTAAACTACTAAGTATTCCTGTGGCATGCATGACAGTAATTATTAAATGCTTACTTTTGAAAATTTAGTCTAACAATTTTTTAAAAGCTTTGTGCTTAAGGAGTTTTCTATCAATCTAAACCTTTAAGCTTTAATTTTACACAATCTCTTCTAGTAATAATTTTAGTAGACTAAGTAATCTATAGTATGAATAGTTATATGAGTATATTGAGTAAAATAGTTTTGAGGTAATATTTTGGGACTCAAACATGGAAGTGAAAAGAAATAATCTAAACTAATGAAGATTCTTGCTCTACAGAAATTGGTCAACGTTTCACCAGATCTCCCAAAACTTATCAGCTCCATGAATGTCCAAAAACCAAAAGAAAATGAAATTGTCCTCCTCAGTGGATTAACATCTGGAAATCTCCAGGCAGATTTTAAAGTTTCACAGGTAAGAAGAATAAGCTCTTGATACAGTGCTCATTCACTTGTGATGTCAACCATGGTTGGCTGTTGGTAAATATCAGCATGAACCCCAAGTAGATGCCTCACATAAACTCTTAAAACATAAAAATGTTTTAATTGCTCTATATTTAAGAATGGTTTATTTGCATTTATCCTAAATATTGCTACTTAGAGTTCGACAGGCCTTCCTTTACATGAACTCCTGATATTTATTTTCTCAAGTACATGGTGCTACATGGCAGTCAAACTAGAGCAGACACACTACGCATTGATTGGTTAGCTAGGGTTTCTACAAATCTACTGGGTAATAAAACAGAATGGTCTTCTGTTTCAAGAACAATACTAAAGTCTAATTCATACTATGTGGTCCCAGAATCCCACAGTTTCTTCTTTCTGGGTGTTATCTAGTTTTTAGGATGTACCAAATAGCCAAATAATACAGGATAGCAGCCCCCAAGATGCATCCCCTGGCCCAAGGAATGAAATTCCCAGAAGAAAAGAATGTTACTAAAAATAAAGTAGGAATTAAATTGTTATTGTTCTCATGCAACACACCAGTGCCCATTGTTATTATAAATCATTACTATACTCTCTAATTGGAAAAAAAATAAATGGTTTAATCAATTTACAGAACAATAAATAAAAGGTTTTTAAAGGCACACTGTATAAGAGTGTTAATTTTTTCAAATAAGGGATGTTGATAGCGATAGCAACAAATTAGGATAATGAGCATTTGTTTTCCTTCAAATTATTCTTCCTGGGGCTTTCGTTTTGCTGAAAATTTATAAATACTTTATTCTTCAGTCTTTAAAAATATCAAAAACTTCAGCGGCCTACCCATGATTTCTTGCTCTATCCTGATGCTTGTGAAAAATGTACATACAACCAATTACAGTTTGATGATCAAAACTAGAACAAAACTCTCAGAGTCAATCTACTAAATATTTCCTTAGTGAGAAAATTAATCATCTGAGAAGAGATCACAGAAATGGCTCTAACTCCCCTCTCTTTATATTCGTGAAAATCATTATGACCAAAAGTAATTTACAACCCCGACTTTCGAAAGTATCTCGAGACAAGGTCTATTAGTTAGGAATTCTAATTAAACATGACAGAAGCACAAAGAGAATGTGTTGTCCCGTGTAACTAGGAAATCCAGGGAATAGATTAAATGCAGGGACTTGAACAATGTCATCAGACTTGGATTTCCTCTTGTGGGCTCTCTCCTGCTTTCTGTCTGTTTACCCCATTATCAGACAAGCTCTTCCCACAAGGAGACACTATCCCTTTGGGCTCAAGTAGAGCAGGAAAAAGTGACTGTCTCTTCCAGATGGCTCCCAGGAAAAGTCTCATTGTGACCTAACTGCTCCCATGTGTCATGTGCCCATTTCTGAACCGCTCACTGTGGCCTAGGGGTGTGATATTCAGATTGGTTAGACCTCGGTCTAAAGTTGGAGGTAAATTAACTTCATGTGAATTACTTGGACTGTGAATGAGCCAGAAAATGGCATCCCTCAGGGTATGAGAACCAAAATAAAGGTTGAATGATATTTGGTTACAAAAGTAGCACAGACGTTCATTAGGAAGAGAGAGAGTAGAATTGCCCAGGACTCATCAAACATCTCTCATCAAGAATATGTTTAAAATTTTGCATACTTTTCCTAACAGCTGTTACAATAGCCTGTTAGCAACAACAGAAACACCTCAAACTTCATTTTTCCAAGTGTCCCCTTCACTTCCTGTGTATCACTTCCCCCACAGAAAGGCTAACTGGTCATTTCAAGGTCACCCAAACGCAAAGTGCAAGAACCAGCATTGCAAGTCAGGTTTGTCGACTCCCATCCCTATATCCTCTCCAATTCTCCCTGTGGCTTCCTGGTCCAGCCAACAAAGCTCCAGCCTCCACAGGAGACATGTACAGGGTGGAAAGGATGGCAAGATGCACCTGAGCCTCCTCGAGTTCAGACATGCGTAGTAGAGTGATGTCAGCATCTCATACAGAGCACAGCCACAGGAGTAGTCTTCCGATTGTACATGACATGCATCTCAGAAAAAAAAAAGTTTTTCTGTAGGAAAATAACTGATTTTCCTTAGTATTTTCCTTGACTGTTGTCTGTTGTAATGATTATTTTTCTTAAGATTTTTTTTAGAGTCTTATCCTAAGACTCTACTGAGGACTGGTTGAGGAAGAAAAAGGTAACTATTGTGCCACCTCCTCATTTCTATCTCACTCGTGTGTATTCATTAGGCTTTTGAGACACGTATGCAAGGGCAGCTGGGTATGTGTTTATATATTTAATAATATCAACGAGACATAAGGACCAAGAGAGAATCAGACTGTAAGTCAGCAGCTTAGTGAGAGCAAGTGTCCAACTTATTTACCAGTATTTTAGCACCTCAGGGGTGCTTAATAAATAATTGTTGAATGGATAAACATAAATAAATGAAGGGCATTGTGAATATTTCCTTTCATTTTTCCAACTATATAACTTAATTGTAAAATAGCAATATGAGAAAACAATAGTATGGTTTGCTGACGTAAAAAGACGAAGACGTGGCCCTGGCCGGTTTGGCTCAGCAGTTGGAGCGTCAGCCTGCGGTACAGAGAGACCCGGGTTCGGTTCCTGCTAAGGGCATGTACCTCGGTTGCAGTTTGTCCCCAGCCCTGGTTGGTTGTATGGGTGGCAGCCACTCGATGTGTCCCTTTCACATCGATGTTTCTCTCTCTCTTCCTCTCTCTCCCTCCTGCTCTATCTGAACAAAAAATGGAAAAATGTCCTTGGGTAAGGATTTAAAAAAAAAAAGACGAAGACATGAATCACCAAAGAGAAACTGCTCCCAGATAACAAAGCTCAAGAAGCAGAAACAGCCCTCTCTACGGTAGCGTGGCAGTCACAAAGGAGCACAGACAGTTTGTAAACGGATGGTTGCTCTTGGTGTTCTTAGTGCTCCACCCTGGCACCTTATTTATTTTTTCTTTTCATAAAAACAAAACATTTTTTCTACTTAATCTTTCTTCAAATTTTTTTTGAAAGAAAATAAAAGACTATGAATTTAAATAGTCCTTGGTACTTCTCAAGGTGCCTTCATAGTATTTCATTAAATCAGGAGGATTAGTCTCTGAGAATGGAGAAAGGTATTATTTTTACCTTTATTTTCTCAACTAGAAAAGTCAAGTTAAGAGAAGTGAGGTAACTTGTTATGTAAACCACCAATATTCGTCTTTGGTACCATAATGTCCTGGCTCAAAGGGGCCAAGTGGCTTGTTTGTTTCCTTCTTCACAGGGAACATTAGCTATGTCCTTGGGACTGATTTAAGTGTCTCCCAGTTACCCCAGCTCAAATGGCCTCTGCCAACATATCCACCCTTACTTATTGATTAGTAGGTAAGCAACTTTCATGAGCTGAGGCAGCCAAACAAGAACAGCCCTACACAGCAGGTGTTGGCGCTAGTTGCCTCAGATTCAGCACTACTGTGCCACCACAATATTGCTGATCTCTGAAAACATATGGACTGTGGTAGCTGAAGAATAATTTAGGCCTTTGGGAGATTTGCTTCAGTTTGCAAAACTACCTCCTATTCTGAAGACACAAAAAAGTTTACTTTTCCTTTGGGCAAAGCCAATTCTTGAGCACAGATGGACTACAGTTCTCCTACACCAGGTCTTAAAAACCCAGTTCCACCCTAGCTAGTTTGGCTCTCAGACTGAAAGACCATGGGTTCGATTCCTGGTCAAGGGCACGTACCTGAGATGCAGGTTCAATCCCCAGCCACGGTCAGGGTTAGGGTCATGCGGTCGATATTTTTCTCCCCCCTGCCTCACACTCCCTCTCAGTCTCTAAAAATCAATGGTAAAATATCCTTGGGTAAGGATTAACAAAAAATAATAAAATAAATAAATGAGTCAATGAAAAAGCAATTGCCTTTTGTTTCAGTTCTGATTCAGTGCTGACCTCTCTCCCTTATTTTAATAGCTTTCAACGAAGTTTTCCTTACCTGTTGAACTTCGTCCAGAGCAATTTTTGCTCTAACAGAAGAGAACAAAAATATGTGATAAAACTAGTCTATTTCCCCCTAAGTCAAATTTTCTCCTAGGTACCCTGTGTTCCCAAACATCATTTCAATTTGTTTCAAGCAGTTCATCAATATAAGCCCAGAAGATGTCCCAAATATTTTGAAGGTCCCCACTCCTTCTACAGGGAGAGATTGGTGGAAGAAAAAAGGTCAGAGTCAATGGTTTTCTCTTTTCTCTTTTAATAAATGCATTTTCTCTGTCCATTTTCAGTGTCCTTGGCTGCCAGATATCTGCTTAGTCCAGTGTGCGAGAGGGAACAGACCAAACAGTACCAATTGCATCATCTTTGAAATCAACAAGTTTTTGATTGGTCTGGAGCTGGTTCAGGAGCGTCAGCTCCACCAGGAGACACACATCTTGAAGGTGGAGGATGACACGAACTGTTCCCTGTCTTCCATCGAGGAGGACTTTCTCACCGCGTCTGAGCACTTGGAGGAGGAGAGCGAGGTGGAAGAAGGTGAGAATTCTCCAATAAAACAAATGTGCATTCTGACATTAGTCACCCTATAGAAACGTCTGAATGCAACTTGAGAAAACTTCAAGCCACCGTCAGCTCAGCTGGCACATCACTGTCTTCACAGCTGAGTTTAGGGAGGGAAGAAGGATACGAGAACACTGGTGAAGATGCACTTGGATTTCATGGTTAGATGCTCCATTCTCCCTAAAGATGCCTTAAGTGGGCTGTGCATTTTAAAGGAAAACCCTCCTGCCTGCCAAGAGGTGGACACTGTCACTGGGAGGAAAGTTAACATCCCTAATCTTCCATCAACACCACCTATTTGTTGAAATTAAGTTGTATTGGCATGAGTCCTAAGATAGTCTCTTTGAATCTGTGAAATCTGGGGCCAGTTATCTAGTCTTTCAGAACATTTATCTATAATTTGAGAGTGTAGTAGTTCCTATAGCACTATTAGATTTATTGATATGATATGATATGATGATATGATATGATATGATATGATATGATATGATATTGACATGTGCTTCTTAATGATGGGGAAGCATTCTGGAAAATGCATTGTTAGGCAAGTTCATTGTTGTGTGAACATCATAATGCACTTACACAAACAGATGTTACGGCCGACGACACACCTAGGCTGCGCAGTACAGCCTATTGTTCCTAGGCTATAAGCCTGTAAAGAATGTTACTGTACAAAACAACACAAGATTACATCAAGAACAAGCGCCAATGATGCAATAAGGAGACTTGGTAAACACAAGAAGTATGAAGCCGGTGTAACATGGCATACTGTTTTACAGTAAGCTTTTTTTCTTATGTAAGCAGAGAGAGTTGCTCCAGGACATTGTAATGGCCACAATGGCACTAGGTGATGGGAATTTTTATCTCCATTATAATCTATGGGACCACCATCGTGTATGTGGCCCGACATTGGCCAAAATGTCATTATGTGACTGCATCATACTGTGACTGATGTGAGGACCGAAGGCAATAGCCCAGGAAAGTCCGTGGTTCTCATTTACTCACTCTTTCTATTGACTCGTTCATGGAGCTCAGTGAACAATGCACTCCCTCCCCCACTCGCAGGGTTAGGGTTAGGGTTAGGGTTAGGGTTAGGGTTAGGGTTAGGGTTCGGGTTAGGGTTTGCGTTAGGGCTAGGGTTAGGGTTAGGGTTAGGGCTAGGGCTAGGGTTAGGGTTAGGGTTAGGGTTAGGGCTAGGGCTAGGGTTAGGGTTAGGGTTAGGGCTAGGGTTAGGGTTAGGGTTAGGGTTAGGGTTAGGGTAGGGCTAGGGCTAGGGTTAGGGTTAGGGTTAGGGTTAGGGGTTAGGGTTAGGGTTAGGGTTAGGGTTCGGGTTAGAGTTCGGGTTAGGGAAGGCTCCATCTGCTGCTGTTGCCGCTATCCCTGGGGCAAGTCCTATGCAATATTTAGAGCAAATTTTTGTAACAAGACCCACTATTGAGGTTGCTCTAAACATCCCCCTTCTTCCCTCTCTGCTCTCTGGGAAGTTACAAGATGCAGTTTTGGGGTTACTTTGCCCCTGAAGAACAGTGGCCAGCTCTCAGCTCCCAAAGGCCTTCTGGGCCCACCGCGGTATCTGCATTTTTTCTGCATCGAAACCCATCCTGTGGGCAGATTCCACAATGAGACACAGAAGTCTTTTCAGGTTCCCTGTTCCTCAAGAAACACCCAGATGCTGTTTTGAGGGGTAGGGGAAGAGACCTGATGCCTTCAAGCATTTTTAGATAATAATTGTTATTTTAGACTCTTGAGAATCTGCTATTCAAAAAGTAAGAGTGGTCTTCGTTTTCTCTTCACTAGGTTATGAGAATATAAATGTTGCAGCCAACGTTATGGAAAGTGAAAAGCCAAAGGAAGTCACTCAGGAGGAATGGAGCTACAGTCAGGAAAAGTCGCCTTGTCCTGTGGAAGACAAGTGCATTAGCAAATACGGTACGTCGTTGACTGAAACAGAAGGATCTCTGGGGAAAGTAGCAGAAGACACAACATTGCAGGGTCTGGATCCCTCAGCGACGCTCTCAGAGAGGAGAGGCGAAGCTGTGGGAAATGAGAGAGCAGCCACGGATTATGATTATTCAGAAGATTTTAAAGTCCCCGTGGGAAAACTGCAGGCACTGTGTGCTCCAAGCAGTGTGTATCCCTCCAGGGTGGTTCGGAAAGAGGGACCCTCTGCCTGCAGCCCGGTCATGGAGCATGGCCAAAACCTAGTCCCAGGAGACCACGAAGATGGAATGAATTCTCTTCCCCCCGTGCAAGATGGAGAAGCCACAACTGGCGAGTATGCTACAAATTTAGCGGAATCCGTGTTGCAAGATGTGTTTATCAGATTATCTCAGTCTCAGCCTCCACCCCCCCAGGGATCTGCAGTCAGTGCCTCAGTGGGAAGCGCTCTGCTCCCCAGTGGCTGTTCCACAAAAGATGCCGTGGTCCCTCAGTCGTGGAATGAGCTCCCGAAAATTGTCATTGTTCGGAGTCCCGATTGTAGTAATGCCGCCCCGGAGACAGGCACCTGTTCTTGGTCTGAGATGGAAGCCGCTTTGGAAACCTCAGGCGTGTCCTCTGGAAGGGATGCCAGCAGACACCCCCAGAGTGCTCTCGAAGTAGCATTAGCTTGTGCGGCCACAGTGATCGGAACTATTTCCAGTCCACAGGCCACAGAGAGACTGAAAAGGGAGCAAGAATCCCTTATTTCAAACAGTCCCCTGGGAGGCAGTGAACCACTGCAGACAGACGCACCCCCAGGACTCAAGGAACCTTCCATCGGTGAATACTCCCTTCCATCTGCTTTGTGCGGCATGACTCAGGTGGCCAGTGCAGTTGCTGTCTGTGGCCTGGGTGAAACAGGAGAGGCGACGTGCCCCGAGGCGTCAAGTGGCATCTTGTCCGCAGCTGCGTCTTTTGCAGCAAACTCCCCACTTTTTCATTTAGCAACAGGGAGGGGTATGGAGCTGGGAAATGAAGCCATTGCAGAGGCATTGTTCAGAGAGGCTGCTCTGGTGTTAACAAGGCCTAATGCCTACAGCAGCATTGGAGACCTCATGGAGTCAATGAACAGAAGGATGATGGAGACTGCTTCCAAGCCTCAGACCCTGGGCTCAGAAAAAGTCCTTGGAAATGAGCTGGCACAGGCCCTGTCCAATGTTATCCTGAAACAGTGTTTTGACGAGGTTCGCCAGCAAAATGAAAGACTCGACCCCAACCACGGCAGGCATCCAGCTGAAACTCTGGGCGTCTTGATGGAAAGTGCAAATCAGCTGCTCTTCGATGTGACATGCTTCACGTTCAAGAGGATGAGCCACATTGTCCAGCACGGTGGATGTCCCACTATTCTTCCCAAGGAGACCACTGGGTGGGGGGAAACAGAACCAGGCAACCAGGGCCCTGACCAGGCTGCTAGTCAAGCATGGAAAAAAGCCACTGACGACTCCAGCAGCCATCCACTTCTTAATCCATGCAGCCCTAGTCTTGTTATCAACGACCTGGCAGATGACATGCCTCCAAAGCAAAACAGGAAGGGCTCAGCAAAACCAGGCCTCTTCCAGAACCCCAAGTTGCCATCCGAACCATCTGGTAGCCCCAGACTGCCTGGTTCTTCGACAGTTAAAATATCCCCCAAGGAGATGTATCTGAAAGGAACCATGGGCAAGGATATAAAGGTCCCTCCTCAGACACCGCGTCACAAGGAGAATGAATACAAAGCCCCCTCGGAGGGAGAAAAGACACCAGCCGCCGCCAAGCGCAGCAGCCGGTCTCGGGATGCTGGGGACAGCTGCCATGCCAACGCCCAAGCGCAGTACAGTTGTGCCTCGCTGCTAAACAATGAAGTTCAAGTTAATCTGTCTTTGTTGGCGAGCGACTTGCCGCGTCCTGCTCCATCCGCGCTGCCGGCGAAACACGCAGAGGAATACTGCATTACAGACTTCGCCGAGGAATTAGCAGAGACCATTGTCTCCATGGCAACCGAGATCGCAGCGATTTGCCTTGACAACTCAAATGGGAAGCAACCCTGGTTCTGTGCGTGGAAAAGAAGGAATGAGCATCTGGTCACCCCGAACCTGGCCTGCCGAGCCCTGAAGAGGAAGGAGGGCCAGGCCAGCGGGGCCGCTGTGCGCAAACACAAGCCACCGCGGCTCAGTGAGATCAAGAGGAAAACGGATGAGCACCCGGAGCTCAAAGAGAAGCTGATGAACAGGGTTGTGGACGAGTCGGTGAACCTCGAGGACGTCCCCGACTCCGTCAATGTCTTTGCAAACGAAGTGGCCGCCCAGATCATGAACCTGACCGAGTTTTCCCTGGTGGACGGCGTCTGGCAAGCGCAGGGCTCTCCGCGGAGTCGGCTGCACAGTGCAGAGCGGGGGAACAGGCTGCAGGCCTCCAGCTGCGAGAGCATAGCGGAGGAGGACCCCGGCGCCAGGGCCCAGGCCAGCGGCCGGGGCCTCATGAGCACGCTGAGCCAGCCCGTGAGCAGGGCCAGCTCGGTCTCCAAGCAGTCGAGCTGCGAGAGCATCACCGAGGAGTTTTCCAGGTTCATGGTGAACCAGATGGAGAACGAAGGGAGAGGATTCGAGTTGCTGCTGGATTACTACGCGGGCAAGAACGCCAGCAGCATTGTGACCTCGGCCGTGCAGCAGGCCTGCGGGAGGAGTGACCACCTGAGCGTCAGGCCAAGCTGTCCCTCCAAGCAGTCCAGCACCGAGAGCATCACCGAGGAGTTCTACAGGTACATGCTGAGGGACGTTGAAAGAGAAAGCAAAGATGCGGCCTTCTCCAGGCGAAGCAGCCAGGATTGGACGGCGGGTTTGTTATCCCCGCCTCTGCGATCCCCGCTGTGTTACAGACAGTCCTCCATGCCCGACGCCAGATCCCTGGGCGCCAGGCTGACAGTGAATGCGCCGCTCAAAGCCAACTCCTTAGACGGCTTTGCGCAAAACAGCCAGCGAGATTTCCTGAGCGTCCAGCCGGTCAGCGGTGCTTCGGCCACCGGGCTCTGCAAGTCCGATTCTTGCTTGTACCGCAGAGGTGGACCCGACCAGATCACAGCCATGTTAATTCACGAGACCTGGGCAAACTCAATCGAGGCCCTCATGCGGAAGAACAAAATCATAGTGGATGATGCCCACGCTGATGCTGAGCCCGTTCCTGGCGGCTGTCCCTCGCAAGCGGACACGTGTGCAAACAGATTAGCCCCGAGCAGAGTGCAAAGTGGGCCCATCCTTCTTGTCCAGGAGCCCATTGATCGCCCAAGGAAAGACTCCGTGACCGAAAGCCAGCATCTCCCAGTGCCCTCTCCAAGCAAAGCTGCTCCTCGCTTAGATTCTAAAAAGGAAACTTCCTTGTGCCATGATGATAGCCCCATAAACCACACCAGGCAATCACTCTGTTCAAGGGAAGTGCCTTTGATTCAGATCGAAACGGATCAGAGAGAAGAGTGTGTTGGCGAACCTGAATACGTCCTTTCCGAAGGCAGCCCCCTAGAAGAAGCAGAGGAGCTTATGAAAGAAGTCCCAGGTGTGATGAAGGGTGGACACGCCGAGGAGAGTGCCTGCCAACACCCTGGGTGAGTAAATGACCTGTGGGACTCCATACAGTGCATGGGACTGCAGTTCGCGTCTAACTAGCATTTATTCCAAGTCTGGGGACTTTATTGATGCAAGAACTGAGTGTCTGAGGCAATAAATGAGCTCCCTGGGTTAAGAAGCACTTATAATAGAAAGATGGAAGTAGTTTTTTAAATTTCTAAAACAAATTGGATTCCCTTACTTAATAGAAGACCTAGGGTATTATTCTTCCCATAAAAATTAATCGTCCATAATATGCTAATTTTTATAAATTCATCCATGGTCATTTTCAAGCAAAATAATAATAAAAGTCAACAAATCCACTTGAAAAAATTTAAATCTAAATAAACTTTAATGTTGGAAACTAACATAAAATATTTTGATATCATTTTGGGGCCTCTCCTTTCAAGTTTTTCTTTTTTGCCTTGTTCTAAAGATCTTTGCAAGGACACTGAGCCCGTGAGTGCTGGCTCCCTGGGTGCTGGTATAATTATGGCATCATGAAGGGCAAAACATCATCAGATTCTTGAATATGAGACCATTGTATCATTTTTAATTTTTTTGGTCTATAGTTAAAGTTAAACAAAACAGAAGAAAATGAAAACAAAAATTAAGCTCTATCTTATGGAAAACATAAGATGAGAAATGACCTGCATGACTAGTATGCCTATTGTGCCAAGAACCTATGACATTTTAAATGTTTTGTTGCAATAAACAAATTGAACATGCCCTTCATCAAATTTCATCAGCTCTTAAACATCCCCAATACTTTCTCACCTTCACCAGGGAAGCAAAGGGGTTTCACCTTTAGGTGCTGATGTTGCCCATCATCATAAGACATCATTACAAGGTGTGGTTGGTACCTGTTCCAGGTGCACATGAGTATTTCATTCTCAACCCCTAGTGCTAAGAACTTAACTTTCCAGTTAAACCAAATGAAGCATAGGCTAAGCTGATCAAGAAGACAAGTTCTGATATACCAGTTAATTCTCCAGCTACAAAAAATACTCATCAAAGTCTTATAAGAGCACCATACCTCGGGTTAGTACTCACCAGATTCAGGAAGTGTGCAGAATTACGAGTTTTTAATAATGATCAAAGAGCCGCCCGGCCTGTGTGACTCAGTGGCTGAGCATCGTCGACCCATGCACCAAGAGGTCCCCAGTTCAATTCTCGGTCAGGGCACATCCCCAGTGGGGGGCATGCAGGAGGCAGCCAATTGATGTTATCTCTCATTGATGTTTCTGTCTCTCCCTACTTCTCCCTTCCTCTCTCTCTAAAATTCCATAAAGAAAAAAAATTTTTTTAATAAAAAAATAAGTGATCAAAGAGTTAAAGGAACAAAAGAGCTAGTGTGTAATTCTTTAGACCTACTTTAAATTGAGATAGCAGAAAATGGAAAACCCTTCATTTAAAGTTTCCTTGAACACAGAGATGATAAACCAGCTGAGGTTTTTAGTCAAGAAGGTTACCTAGTTAAGGAACATTCATGAACTTCTAGTTCAACAAGATTTATGGTTGTAAGCTCAAATCAAGTAGTTAAATAAAATTCACTGCAGTTAAATAAAATTCATCATACAATTTTTACTCATGTGTCACTAATATTGTGCTTAAAATAGGTACAACCTGAGGACTTTCCAAATTTTTTGAAATACATCTGAATAAAGCCTCCAATTGATTTAGGTTTCTGTTCTATATAATGACAAAGCACGTGACCCAAGAACATATTCTGACAACTCATGATGTGGATTTCTGATTTTGTTTTCCAATAATGAAAGGAAAAAAATGTGAAATCAGCAGCCTTAGAAACTCAAGCGATGAGTCTGCTTCTAAAAATTAAATGTCTTGCCCTGGCTGGTTTGGTTCAGCAGTTAGAGCATTGGCCTGCGGTCTGGAGAGACCCAGGTTCGGTTCCCACTAAGGGCATGTACCTCGGTTGTAGTTTGTCCCCGGCCCTGGTTGGGTCGTGTGGGTGGCAACCACTCAATACCACTCAATGTGTCCCTTTCACGTCGATGTTTCTCTCTCTCTCTCTCTCTCTCTCTCTCTCTCTCTCTCTCTCTCCCTCCCTCCCTCCCACTGTATCTGAACAAAATATGGAAAAATGTCCTCTAGTGAGGATAAAAAAAATTAAATGTCTTTTCCTTTGTGGAACAATATAAAAAATTGTTATAGAACATGAACTCCACTAACTAACCTTGTAACCATGTCACCCCAGGCAAGTTCCCTCATCTCTCTACTTTAGTTTACATGCCTATAGATGGAAATAGTAATAATAATGTCATAAGAGGATTCTTCTTTTTTTAACTTTTTTTCTCTTTAGAGAAAGAGGAAGGGAGAGGGAGAGAGAGATAGAAACATCGATGAGAGAGAACATCCATCAGCTGCCTCCTGCATGTCCCCCACTGAGGATCAGGCCCACAGCCTGGGCATGTGTCCTGACTGGGAATCAAACTGCGACCTCTTGGAGCATGGGTCAACCTCAAACACTGAGCCACACCAGCAGGGTTCATGAGAGGACTCTTAAGTGCCTACCACTCCATAAATGTTTGCTTTGTGGTTGTCATTGTCATTTGGGGTTAGAGTACAGGGTTGCCTTAATTCCAGGAGATTATTTTCCCAAAAGAAAAGTGTTATGAATAATGTCAGAACTGTATTAAAACAGGAGAGTTCCCAGGATTTGAAAGAGGAGAAATTAGACCTACTTAGATCACATTTTCTAATCTCAGAGTTGTTACCATGAAATTTAATGTGTCAAAATAGCTAAATACAGAACTCAATTTCCCGTGAAAGAGTTCCCACCCACTTACTCTCTAGGGAGAGGTAGATGACACAGGAGCTCTGAATTCTCTGTGGAGGTGGGGAGGGGTCCTGTCCCGAGGCATTTTTAGCTACTCTCTGAAAGATATTTTCATAATTCTTACTAAACACTTTATAAAATCTCAACATACTGAAATAAAAATCACTTTTTTTATTTGATAAAAGAGTAACCACTTCAGAATATATTATGGAAATCATGTTCAAATAGAAATACTTGTTATATTTTGGGCTACCACATTTTTCCAGATACCTAGATGATCTCTCAACTATAAAGTGTTTAAATGATGTAGGGTATCCCCGTTCCTGATTCCTAGAAAAATATTATTCTATTGGTGGGCAACAATGTGTTCATAACTCAGCCACCCTGTCTGAGATCACTGAATAATAAATATCTAACCTTTTGATCATTTGGGACCACAAATATAAACACCAAACTGAGAATTGTGAACATCACATATTGCACTCACTGACATAATCTGACTTTTTTAAGAAACATATCTTATGTTGTGTATTCTTTTTTATGTTGTGTATTCATTTATATTTGCTTCAAGAAAAATAGTATGTGTTCATCCAACAAATGTTTGATACCCATAATGCACACTGTCCTCGGAGCTTGACATGCAGACGGATACAGAGATGTTTGCCTGTTTCTATGGCTCTTACACAGCAGTGGGAGAGGCAAACAAAATACATGAAAAAACCTCTTTAAAAAATCACTGCAGAGTGTGACTTGATGAGCTAGGATGTTGGCATTTGCGATGAGAACTAAAAAGCAGATACAGGACAAGGCATGTGAAGAAATAAAGAGAGACTTGTGTTTCAGGCAGTATGATGTTCTGGCTAGCCTGAAAATTCTCCCACTCTGAACCAACTAGAGAGTCTGGATTAATATAACAAACATCCTTTCAAACACAGGGCTGAGATTAACATTTTTATTAATCATTATCATCATCATATTCATTATCTCAGAGGCAGAAAATAAAAGGACCAGAAAATAAAAGTGGTGAGTTAAAGTTGATTCTGCACCTGCTCCTGAGACATTTGTCAGTTTCAGAAATATACAAGTTTATTTTCTAAAGGCGAAAAGAAACCAGGAAATGATAATGTGGGCCCATTAAGACTTAGAACTGACAAACAACCTTCGTATTCTGGAGTTATGTCCCCGGTATAAATATGAACTTAGGAAAAAGGATCACCCACTAGGAAAAGGAGCTTATTTTAAAAATCTGTCTTTCAGGATTAGGACTCTGGGTAGATGGGGAAAAATCTTCTTTTATAACAAGAGCCTACCCTACTACACCTTTAGAGGTCTAATTTGTATCATCTATGTGGTCCAGGGAAACCTCAAGCTGGTAACTTACCTTAAAGCAATATCAGGTTAATATCACTGTAAGACCTTGGCAGAGACTAAATAAATCTCTGGATATTGAAGCCCAAGTCTCAACGGATTCCAACAGAGAAAGCCCTATCAATTATTAGCTCAGAACCTCAAATTGCAAGATACATAAGGAATCAAGACCTCATAAGCAAGACTCAGAACAAATATCAGATGGCAGGATTAGCCCTGATAAGAGTGTCAGATGTTAGGATTGTAAGATACAGAATACAACACAAGTATATTTTACACATGGAAAAAATAAGGTCTACAATGTAAGATTAAGGAACAAACTACAATCAAAGTAAGATGAAGAAGAATTAAAAATCATTTAAATACTCCAAGAGGTGACAAATATAATCATTGAAAAATAAAACCTTGCCCTGCATGGTTTTGCTCAGTGGTTAGAGCATCAGTCCACAAAGAGTCTTGGGTTTAATTCCAGTCAAGGGCACATACCTCAGTTGTGCACAATCCCCAGGCCCAGTAGGGGTGGTGCGAGAGGCAGCTAATCAATGTATCTCTCACATCGATGTTTCTCCCTCTCTCTCTCTCTCTCTTTCTCTCTCTCCTTCCCTCCCTCCCTCCCTCCCTCTCACTGTATCTGAAAAAGAATCAGTGAAAACATATACTCGGGTGAGGATTAAAGAGAAAGAAAAGGAAACCTCTAGATATAAAATAATTATTTAAAAATAAAATTATTGAAATCAAAACGTCAGCGGTACACCTGTGAAGAAAATCACAGTGAAAGATACATGTGACTGGATGTCTGGTCCCACCCATGTGACAGGATGGAGTCAGTGA